TTGGCAGCGCTATATAAGGCCCGGCCCGGCCCGACTTGTCTCAGATACCCGCTGCCGGAGCCCAGCGTGTGGGCTGGACGGGGGCGCACCGAGGTGAGTGGGCACCTCCGGGGTGTAGGAGCGTGGACCTGCGCTCGCCCTGGGGTGTCTCCGCGCGGGGCGGGGGCGGGGAGAAGCCCGGGTTGTGCAAATGTGTTCCACGTTTTGAGGTGGTTCTCCCTTTAATTGCAGGCAAATGTGCAATACCAAGATGTCCTCCCTTACGGATGCTTCTTCTGTTACCGCTTCGGAGCAAGAGGCCCTGGTCAGTAGCTCTGTTGCACGCGCGAGTTTTTCATGCGTTTTGAAGAATTCTTATCTGCTAATTCAGAGGGGCCGCTTTGCTCAGTAAGCGATGGTTAGAGAAAAGCCAGGAAATCGGGTGAAGATGGGGGTCTCTTTGATCTGTAGTTGTGAAGCAAACTTTTCTCATTCGTGGTTGAGAGGGTGATGGTTTAACTCTAGCCTCATGTTTCCTGAAGACCTTTAATGGTCAGGTTGCTTTCTTTTAATAAAAAGGATTTTATGGTCCGACTTGATCATGGTAAATGTTTCATGTTGGAAATTGTTAACAGTTTGTAACTGAAGAGTTATGGAACATCTGTGTTGTGCAAAATTTAACACTGAGATAATCGTCATTAAAACTGAAGGCTTTTGAATTTGGCACTTTCACTTTAACCTCTATTGGATTTCATAAGTAAATTTTAGTAAGAGTCTTCATTTGTGTTTATAGCTTTGCATATCCAGGCTTTCCATGATACAGTGACAGTTACTGCTGTCCTGGCTTTCTATGTACGTTTTCCTGAGGATGGAAGCCTATGTGTTATATCTGAGGTGCGAGTTAAAAACGGCATGTGTGTAATGACGGTTGAACTGCATTACTTTTTGTAGAAGGGTAAAGTGCAGACTGATAGCAGAACGTCAAAAAAGCGAAGTAAGAGAACAGCAGACTGTTGAAAGTTTTGTTGTGTTTTTTTCCGGTTTGTTTCTTATTTTTTGAAGTCGTAATGTGTTGCTACCGTCTGCTGTCAGATCTGGGTGGCAGAAGAACTGCATACTTGCAGTAGTCGGGGAGAGAGGGCTGGGGAGTAAAAGGATCAGAACCCAGAGAGCTAGTTGTGGATTCGAAGATCTGAAACTGTGCTTTCCTATATGCTCAGCTGTCGTTTAATAAGTTACTGTTTGCTTCCTTTATGAAACTGTAATATATGCTGCGTGCTCTAAATAATTCAGCAGTTAGGAAGGGGGGAATAGACATCTAACGTCCACAAGCTTGTTTATTATTTTCATTATGTGTGATTCCTGCAACTCATGTCTTGTTAATGCATTAAAACTTAACGTAGGTTTTAGCAGATATTTAGAAATTGAATGTAGGGAAGCTCCCTCCACACCCATTAGGCGTTTATTCCCTGTCTGATATTTTATTCACGCTTTCCTATGAAGTGTTTCTTTTTTATATATTTTTTCTTATTTTAGGCAATATATTAGGATAGGTAAATACTAGTCTGGTCTTAGAACGGTGATGCTGTTGTTAAAGTGGCAATACTAGGATATACTGCACTGGGAACCGTCAGTGGCTCCACGGGCGTTTTCCTTGCAGTTGTGGCAGCCCTTGCAGCTTCTCATCTGCACTGGTACTGGCACCGTTGCTGGTGGAGCAGTGCAGTGAGCGGGGTCAGGACACTAGTCTGTCCAGAAGTGGAGGGGGAAAAAAAAGGAGGGGGAAAGCTATTCTTATTTTTTAAAAAACTTTTCCCTCCTCTACTTCAGAAATTGTCGTAGACCAGCTGCAGATTTAAGTCTGCTGGCATAGCAGGTGGGAGGCCGTTGTGGAGTGAAATAAGGAGGTAGGAGTGATTGAAATAGGATGAAAAGGACCGGGTGCCCTTACCCCAGCTAAGAAAAGTCTTCAGAGGTAAAGCAGCCCAGCTGGCAGATGCAAAACCGCAGCCCTGGAAACTGTCACAGGAAGATATTAGGAAAGAGGTGGATCTATGCTTTGCGACTTGCACTCTGGACCTGACAGTCGCAAAGGTCCGTTTGCCTTCCTCCCTCCCCTTTGGGAGTCACCCTAATGACTAAAGGAGTGAAGGTGAATTCGTCAGGACTCAGCCCTACGCTCAGAACCACCACCTGTAGCTCAAATCAAGGAATCTGTGTAACCAGTGAAAGATTGGGGTTTGAGCTAAGATGTACGGTGTATCAGAAGTTTAGTATGATTGGCTTGGTGTTACTTTCTTTCAAGTTTAACTTTACAAAGTAAAAAACTTGGATGTGGATAGGTTTTCATGTAGTTGTGTGTTTGTATATCAGATCAATACAGGAGGAGGAAGCCAACCTGCATAAGTAGTGCTTTGTTTGGTGAATAATTGTTGCATACTGTTCTTTTTCTTCTTCCCCACACAGGTTAAACCAAAGCCACTATTGCTGAAGTTGTTAAAGATAGCTGGTGCAGAAAAGGACACTTTTACTATGAAGGAGGTGAGAACTTTCAATCACTAACAGTAGATTACAGTGAATACAGGTAGATTATTCTTTTATTTTGGGTGAATGGGGGGCAGTGTAGTTCACAGCTTATCTGAACGATATTGAGACAAGGTATTGTTTTATTCTCCTGCTGACTTGTTAGATGGTGTTTAGCAAGTTTCTCAAAATCTGACCAAAAGTATCTGGTGGTCAGTAGAATAGCGGAATACTTGGGGAATGATAGATAAAAATCACAGTTCAACAGGATTTTTAGGCAAAGTCAGAACAGCTAATTTCAATGAATTTAATGTATTTTCTCTTACACTTGAGACAACGTAACCTGTGTATTTAATGTCTCTGTATGTCATTTATTTTACAGGTAATATTCTATCTTGGACAATATATTATGTCTAAACAATTATATGATGAAAAACAGCAACATATTGTACACTGTGCAAATGATCTCCTGGGGGATTTATTTGGAGTAACAAGCTTTTCAGTAAAAGAACACAGGTAAAATGGGATTCTTTTCTGAGAGTCTGGTTGTGAAATAATGGAGAACATAATGCGTATGGCCTTTTTTAACTCTTTGCATCTTCAGTGATGGTAAGCTATCTTTTACAATTACATGTAGCTAACTTGCAACATCTCTTTCTTTATCCCCATCTAAGGAGACTGTATTCAATGATTTCCAGAAATCTGATAGCAATCAATCAACAAGGTAAGCTAGTTCGGGAGGACCTTTTATTTTGGGAAATAGTAGTAGGGAAAATGTAACTTACATTTAATGCATCTTGCACGTAGTGATCAGATAACATCGATCACTCCATAATTAGCTGTTTGGCTTTACACACTACTGTCCAGAGCGATCACAAATAGTGAATGAAAGCAAACACTGTTTCTCCTGGGTGAGAAAAAAACCTAAAATCTGAACAGCATTTAGGTAATTCAGACTAGAACCAGAACGAGCACAATCAGAGCTGAACCCAAAGAGGACTAAATTGAAAAATTAGTAGTTTGCTTATATTTCTTACAGATAAAGCCCTCAACAACATAAACATTTTTAATATAAAAAATTGCAGAAAAAGTAAACGCATTTTATTCTTTCTGTTAGTGTTCTGTTTTAATTCTCAAAAATGTTATGTAGTACATTTAGAACTGGTCACCCTCAGCTGTACCCTCAGCTATGCTGAGTCCTCTATTAAAAGGTCTGTATACTTAAAAAAGTAGCTTTGTGCGAACTTTGTGGATAGCCCCTCCATAAATGGAGAATTGTTACATACAGTCATCTTTCCTGCAGTATGAAAATGCTCAACATAGCTGTAACTTTTGTCTAATACAAGGAATGAACCAGAAGTGAAACAATGGAAGCCATTTTGTAAATTGGTTTCTAAATCCATATTAAGACACCCTTTGATTCTGATTCTTCCTAAAGGCGAGTGTTCAGCTGCTGAAGATGGGAAACATGCTCTCTGTCGTATCCCTTGTTGTTATGCTTGCAAAATTAAATTATCTTTTAAATTCTTTTCTTGAAAGATAATTTCTTAATTCAGGGTCTGTCTGGTAGTAAGCATATATAATTAACAACAGTTAATTTTTCTTCTATTTAATATCTTTTAAATTCTGTGTTCCCATAAGATGATAGCTAGTAAAACATGCTTTGGAAAGGAAGAAGTGTAAAATATTTCCTTCCTGTGTTCTTTTATATCTGCAGAATCCCAGCTAATGCACAGCCTTCATCTGAAGGCATTTATAATAAAATTCTGAGCTACTTTGCAGTTGATATTTATTCTTCCTCCCCACTTTCCCACTTCAATAATGTTACAGGGAAGGTGCTGCACACACCTGAAAAGCGAAGGAATGGGCTGGTTTTTTCCATTGTTGCAAAATGTCCGGATTGTAAATTCTGTTTAGAATGTGCTTTGTAAATGCTGTGTGCCGTTAACTTCTCTCCCTTGCTTTTACTCTAATGCTGTTGAGCCTGAAATTGACTTTTTCTGTTGTGCTGTATTAGCTTTTTTTTTTCGGTTTGGTTTCAGACTCTACGCTTCCTGACACACCTGAGGATGATGCCAGATTTCAGCTTGAAGAAGAAAATGTTCTAAAGGTGACTTCCCCTCCACGCCCCACAATGTTTCGAGATGTAAATTCTGTTTAGTTTTGCGTGATAGTGTCAATAGTTTAGATGCAATTAGTTGATTCTAGCCTTCTACCTTGTATTCATGCTCAGGCTTACTCGGTATTTCTGTTAACTAGGAGTCTATGCAAGAGTTAGAAGAGAAGCAGACTTCATCAAACGTGACTTCCCGACCAACTACATCTTCTAGGAGGAGAACACACAGTGAATCTGGTATGTGCAGATTTATGATGCAGAACATTTAGTAGCATGGCCACTTAGGGGGAAGAAAGTACGTTCTGTTGCCTTACTGACTTTGAAAGATGCTGTGAAATACTATTTGTGTTTCTCTGCTTATCTAAAACAAAATGTTCCGTCTGGAAGAAATACACAAGTCCTTGCATTGCTCCAATATGATGTTACAGTTCAGATCTCTAGAACTGTTAGTAAGATGATGGAATAACTTGTTCCACAGATCTGTTAAACTTGTTCACATCAACGGGACTTAATCAGTTGTGTTGTCTTCATGATGAGAACACTTTTGTTTGTAATAGACTGATGTAGTCAAAATAATTTCAGTTCCCTCTGTAGACAGCCACAAAATTTTACATTTTGTTTACTCTTGAAAAGCAGTTTTCATTGGATTTCAATTGGTGTCAAAGACATCAAAGGTCTGGTAGTAACATGGGATGATTTTAGATATATTTAGGTACCTGACTGTTTCTTAAGCACTTTTTAAAAAGTCCGGTGATTTCAGCGTCGTATTTGTCTCCTCTTTCTCTTTACTGTGGCAATTCAATAATCACTGGCAAATACATTTTCAAAATGTGGAATGTTTCTTCCAGTAATTAGCAAATAACAAGCTGGTCAGCATAAACCTGAATAACTTCAGATTTCTCAATGGAAGTGTTCTCTATGGTTCTACTTAAATACTATTCTGTGGAATTTCTTACGTTAGTTTGTTCCATCACTTACTTCTGTCACCTTGTGGCTTGACAGTTGTAATTACCTGGGCAGTGATAACCTTCTGGCACTGCATATAATTTTCTTTTCTTTGGTTGCTTGGGAACATTTTTCAGTTCCTCAGTTGTTTGGTTTTTTGGGTTTTTTTTTTTTTTTGTGTTCATCATAGGCCACTGTTAATGTTAGTCAGTCCAAAAACTGTGCTGCATTGCTGAGCGGTTTGCACTAAATTAAAAGAACATTTTAATGTTGTAACAAAAACTGGTGAAAGGATGGAAAGTCTCGGTTAAACATCATAACCTGTAATATTTAGGCATGACACAGTGCATAAGGTCCTGTGTTGTGCTTACTTATTGTAGGTTTGATTATTAACTCTTGTCTTTGCATCCGTTTATTAGTTTGTTACAACCTTAAAAGTTCTTTTAATATAGTGTTTTTATATACACTTTTTTTCTAATTTATAGGAAATCTTCCTTTTAAACCACTATTCTTGTTAAATTGGGATGGTAGCGGCTCCTTTGGAGCCGCTTATATAGTGTATAGAAACCTTGTGGTGATACAGTATCAGTACGGCATGGAGCCATGACAACTAAATGAGGACAACGATGGACAGGAGCAACCCTTGGGCCTGGGGGCACCAAAATTGGTGGGGCTCTCAGGGCGGAAAAAGAAAAGAGAGGGGCTGAGCCAAGAAGCACCAAGGGAAAGTAAGAGAAGTCTCAAAGTATGTACAAGTGTTTTGTTCTCTTTTCTTTTACAATGAAAGATTCAAGACTTGAAGACTCGTGGATTGTCAGGGAGTGTTTTGCAAGGCAAGGGAGAAGCTGGGCAATAGAGGGTGGGTGCAAAAGGCACCTGTTAGGAGGGCAGCAGGCTCTTCTTAAGAGGTCTGCTGCCTCTTCGGGAGTTTTCACTCCACTGCACTTACATACTGACTTTGCAATGCCTTTTTAAATAGAACAGTTTCTTACCAAACACCCTAAAAGTCAGTGGAGCTGAATTTTGACTCACCTACCCCTAAAATGCTGTCCCCCTACTCCTTATGCTGCTGTAGGTGGTTGTTTCAAAATGTGATGTATTTAAAAAGCATTGTCTTTTTGCCTTCAAACTAATCATATTTAATAAGCACAGCTTAAAGCAATGCTTTCAGGGTTCAGTTTTTACATAGTATGCCTTCAAGATTTTCTTGCCAGTGTGTGGTGAAAGTCATAACCGTTTCTTACAAAAATCCTGTTGAGTAAATACATACAGTCCAACTATTAGCTTATACATTTGTTGAGGTATCTGAAACTTGAACCTGAACTTACCTTGCCTAGCATGAGGTCCTTTGTCTGCATGTGACATGGGAGCTAGTTGCTCTGTCTCCCTGCAAATTCTGGGATGGCCTCAGAAGCCCTCTGAAAGTGCCTGCCTGTCTACTGACTGTAGAGGGAGCTAGGACAATTAAGATCCTAACTGTATTCCTTAAAATTAGAAGGGGTTTAATGCGTCATATATGGAGCAAAAGTGGAGTAAAAATGCTTCCAAATTTGCAATTATTTCCTGCATGTGAAGACCGCCATTTACAAGCTGTACTGATGGGACAAGTGGGGAAAGCCAGCCCCCAAAATACTTGCTTTGGGAATGTTTCACACTTTCCATGTTTCTCAGTGTTACTATGTCTCTTTTAAATAAGTTTTTGGTGCCTTTACTGTTTTCACCCATAAAAGAATCTATTCAAAACTGCATATTGCATAGATGTTTTTGAATAATAAAAATTCTTGAATGTGCCCAGAAGAAAATTCTTCAGATGATCTGCACAGTGACAGAAGAAAACGACACAAGTCAGACAGCATTTCATTGACGTTTGATGAAAGTCTCTCATGGTGTGTAGTCAGTGGTCTGTGCCGTGAAAGAAGCAATAGCAGTGATTCAACAGATTCTCTTTCCATTCCTGTAAGTCAAAATACATATTTTCGTAGTGCAAATTTTGCAGATACCACAAGTACAAATACGCATCTTAAAACATCATGTTCTTAATTAAAAGCAGCAGTGCCTTCAGTGGTGTCTGAGGAGAGAAAAGATGCCGAAAGAAAAATTGGTGTGTGGGTGGAGTGGCATCTTTTGTAGACCTGCTGACAAAGCTGAAGTGAAATTTTAAAAACTATAACTCTGAACATTCTTTTAAAAAACAGATTCTTACTGCTTGGCGCAGTATTGAAAAAAAACTGAGATGTATTTTGTGTTTTAAATAAGTGTTTCTTAGAAGGCTAAGAGAAGAAAAGCAGTCACAGATGCTCCGTAATTCAGAATAGTGCTTCTGGTAGTTCTGGTACAGCCTCTGTAATTGTACATAGTACTGCCCTGATGATAATGCTGTATTCATTTTCCAAGCTTTTACTGTTTTTTATTGTTGTTTTCAGCAAACACTTGAGGCAAAGTATCTGTGGCTGGGAAGCTAACAGTATTCCTAGTCATATACTGTATTCTTAATTGACAGAACTACTACTGTATTTTCTGTCATGGGATTTTATAATTGTTTATCTCCTGTCTCAAGGTTAACAAAGTTGATGAGAATAGGGAATTTAATGACATGCAGCCAAAAGACGGCATCTTCTTGCATCTTTCTTTCACTCTTTATGATAGCCTTTGTGAAATAGTAGCAACAGTTTTCAGGTTGGCTGTAGGTTGACTGCAGCCTCTATTTTGACCTACCTGTGATTCATTTATCCCATAAAAGAAGCTCTATCTAACAGCAGCTGGTCTCACTTCTTCTATAGTTAATTAAACTGAGTAGTTCGGTTTTATCTTAAGAGCCATCTTAACAGTAATGGTTATGGATATGGACTAGTGAGGTTGAGTGTGTACTTTCTTTCTTGACTTTTTTCAGGATCTTGATGCTAGTTCATTAAGCGAAAACTCTGATTGGCTTGACCACAGTTCTGTTTCAGACCAGTTCAGTGTAGAGTTTGAAGTTGAGTCTATTTATTCAGAAGACTACAGCCATAATGAAGAAGGACAGGAGCTCACAGATGAAGATGATGAGGTATGTATTTTTGTTTGGGGTGTTTTTGACTGAGGGAGGGAGAAGGAAACTTAACAGGAATACTTCACGTTGAGATTCCAACAAGAAGTAGTAACTCTTCAGGTTTATTTCAGGACTGCGTGTTCTATGTCACAAACTGCACCCAGTCGTTCATTAAATGAAATTACATGTCTGTGCAGTTGCGTTGTCATTATACACCCACCAGGCAGCAACCAGAACAGTGCTAAAGCTTTCCATAGACTCTGAAACAGACTTTTGACAGTCTGGAAAAGTCCATTTAACTTCACTGTCTAGCTGTTGGGGTTGGTGGCAGCACGTGTACTTCAGTTTGTTTCTACATTTTTAATTATAGAAGTATGTGTGAGCTTTGACAACACTTCTTATACAGAAGGAGAACTTCTCTGGTAACTGTTTGCAAAGGGATATTTCTGAATCATTTGCCTCCATGAATATAAATGGTTCATAGAGATGCTGAAACACAATTTTAGAAATTTTCATTAGGAGGCAAGAAGACAATAAAATTGTGGTTACCATCATATTAAAGAGCTCTAGGTATCTGGGGTGTCAGGAATGAAATGGGAAATTATTACTATTTTTTTTTCTTCTGGGTTAGTTTTCTGTTACCTCAAAGAAGTGAATTAGCTCATGGCAAGATTGGGTAAGTACCAGAGGCAGAATTTGCCAGGGACATAGATGATTGTGATACTTGAGAGGCTGAATAGGACTGACTACTGATGTACAACCGGTTATAATGCTGCTGCGGAGCTGCACCCTGAGATAAGACAGTGATTTGGGGAAAGAAAGGCTGGAGATGTGTCCCTGCTCCAACAGCAGTGTGGAGAATTGCAGAATGGTTGAGGTTGGAAGGGGCTTCTGGAAGTCATCTTGACCACCTCAGGCAGAGCTGATTGCCCCGGGCCATGTCCTGATGACTTTTCAATATCTCTGAGGGTGGAGGCTCCACAGCTGCTCAGGGCAACCTGTGCCAGTGCTCGGTCACCCTCACAGTAAAAAAAGTGTCTCCTGATGTTCAGACAGAACCTCCTGTGTTTTAATTTGGGCCAGTTGCGTCTTGTCCTGTTGCTGGACACCACTGAAAAGAGCCTGGCTCCATCTTTCTTACACCCTCCTTTCAGGTATTTATGCACACTCATAAGGTCTCCTTTGAGCCTTCTCTAGGCTGAACAGTTCCAGCTCTCTCAGCCGCATGTGAGAGCTCCTCCAATCCCATAATCGTCTTGGTGGCCCTTCGCTGGACTCTCTCCAGTAGCTCCATACCTCTCATATACTGGGGAGCCCAGAGCTGGGCACAGTGCTCCAGTTGTGGCCTCATCAGCGCTGAGCGGAGCGGAAGGATCACCTCTGTTCTAGGAAGTGGTACCTTCTATCTGTGTAGTCTACATTTTTCTTCAGACTCTTGTGTTACAAATGTGAGCAGAATTCTTTTCCTCCAAACCAGTCATCAAATTTTGTGGAGTTACTTGCTAATGTAAATTAACAGGATGGAACGCCTCTCCTATGAGGACAGGCTGAGAAAGTTGGGATTGTTCAGTCTGGAGAAGAGAAAGCTCTGGGGACACCTTGCAGCCTTCCAGTAATTCAAGGGGGCCTGTAAGAAAGATGGGGACAGGCTTCTTAGCAGGGCCTGCTGTCGTAAGACAAGGGATAATGGTTTTGAAGTAAAAGAGGGTAGATTCAGACTTGGATCTAAGGAAGAAATTTTTCACAGTGAGGATGGTGAAACACTGGCACAGGTTGCCCAGAGAGGTGGGAGATGCCCCATCCCTGGAAACATTGCAGGTCAGGTTGGACGGGGCTGTGAGCAACCTGATCTGGTTGAAGATGTCCCTGCTTATTGCAGGGCAGTTGGACTAGATGACCTTTAAAAGTCCCTTCCAACCCAAACTATTCTATGATTCTATGAGTGTACATGCGTTACTTACTGCATTTGATTAAAAGTCTATCAGAAAATCTGTCAGATTAAAAATCTTACCAGATTTTTAATTGAATGCCAAAAACCAGTTGCATCAATACTTTTTTTTTATTTCAACCAGGTATATCAGCTGACTATTTACCAGGATGAAGATAGTGATGCTGATTCATTTGATGAAGATCCAGAGATTTCTCTAGCTGTGAGTAAAAACTTGACTGGCAAAACTTCCTAAGTTGGGTGAACTGACAAAGTAGATCAAGGCATATAGATGAATTCTGTTGCTACCAGTGATTTTTAAATAATTAAATCAGCTTCTTGTATGCTTGAAGATTCCAAGACACTGTTTTAATTATTGAACATGTGATTATTGAGGAACTTTGTTTTGTTTGTTTGTTTGTTTAAATTCCTAATCCATTTAAGCAAAAACACACACTAACTTATGGTTTCACTGACTTAATGGAAGGAAATATTTTAGGAGCCAAAATCTGACTTTTTGCACAAAATGCAAAAAAACCCCAAACTTAGTCATGTATATTTAAAAAAACTCTTCCTATAAATTGTAATATCTAGTTTATTGTCCAACCTGAGTGAAGGAATCTGTAGCATACAGATGTGAAGGCAAACATGTTTTCAGAACAGCACTGTAAAATTAATAGATTTTGAGGCTTTTTCTAAATTCTGAGAGACCATTCTTGAAGCATGGGAAGAAATTCAGGGGGTTGAGGTAAAGTATGCAGACATGTGAAAAAAGCACACGCTAGAATTAAAAAGCAGCGTGTCTTTTAATTTTTGTTACATTTTTGGTGTTCAAAACAGTCAGAAGTGTTCTAGTCTCTTTATGGTTTCTCGAGCTGAGGGGCTTTACTATGCGTGTAAAACACAGGGCTAGCCACCGTCTGAAAACATAGCACTACTTATGTGTGGAAAAACATGTTTCTATGTTATTTTTAGGAACTAAAATTGGTCTCTTAAGCTTTTGATGTCACTGATGTTATGCAGGACTCGAATAAGAAAGCGCTTTGAATCTCCTAAATAAGTTTGGGTTTGTTTCTGGTTTTTTATTCCCCTTATGACATGCGTTTTTACTAAAAAGGGGACTTATCTTTAAAAAGGAAATGTATTTTTAATGCGATAGTGGCTTATATTCAGTGTAGCATATGGAGTAACCTCAGAGACAGTGATGCAGCTTTTTTGCTTTTTTTTTTATTAAATGGCCGATGGCTTCTAATATCTAATACTATTGTGTCAGAGTGCCCTCATCTGGCCATTGTGCACACCAACAGCTTAGCATCCCACAGGTTAAGTGTCCCTTCAATCTTGAATAGTTTCCATTTTGGAAGTCTGTTGTTGAAAATAACGGGAATGGTGGCCACTTTCTGAGAAAGAAGTTTTTCAGGAGGTTCTCTGGAGACTTTTTTGGTCTGGTTTCTTCAATTTTGCCTAAGAAATAATAAATCATGATTGTTCTACCTCTTTTTTTTATTTCACAAATCTACTGCAAAAAGAAAGAAAATCAACAGTCTCGATGTTAAAAACTCTTTAATCTAGACCTGTAAAATGGGGCCAAACACTGAATGGAATTTTTAAATTATAAACAAGTCGATAGCTCAAGGTAATTATTTTTTGGGCAGTAATAAATTGTTTATAATCTCTGAATACTTCAGTTGTAAGCATTCCAAGTAGCTTAAGCTGTTCCAACCTTTAATTCACTAAAGGATTATTGGAAGTGTCCTGAATGTAGTGAAATGAATCCTCCGCTTCCACGACATTGCCACAGATGCTGGGCCCTTCGTGAGGACTGGCTTCCAGATGAAAAGTGTGACAAATTCTTAAAGAGCAAATCGGAAGGTTCTTTCCCCCTAGAGTCTGAAGAAGGTTTTGATGTTCCTGACTGCAAGAAGGTGAAAATGACTGAAGATAAAGAACCATCTGTAGAGGAGAACGAGGATAAAGCAGTACAAATTTCTGAGTCCCAGGAAAGTGAAGATTATTCTCAGCCATCGACATCGAGCAGCATGTTTTGTAGCAGTCAGGAGGACTATAAGGAGCCTGAGAAGAGAGAAGTGCAAGACAAAGAGGAAAGCATGGAATCCAGTCTGCCTGTTTCCAGCATAGAGCCCTGTGTTATATGTCAGAGCAGACCTAAAAATGGCTGCATAGTACATGGCAAAACGGGACACCTCATGTCATGTTTTACGTGCGCGAGAAAACTTAAGAAGAGGAACAAGCCCTGTCCGGTGTGCAGACAGCCCATACAAATGATTGTATTAACTTATTTTAGTTAGATGGATGTTGACTGGAAAGCAGCAAAAGAAACTTCATAAACTGGTTAAGAGAGTAAGAAACTATTTTTATATGCTTATTGGAAAATTAATATTTTGGATCTCTTTACATTTGGTATGAAAAGTAACTGCTGAAATGAATGCACTGGAGCTGTTAAGAGGTTAGCCTAATATTTGTAAGTCAACTTGAAGATTTTAAATCCCTCTCAACAGAAAGAACCAATTCCTGTAAACTCTCCGCATCTCCAAGTGTTTTATGTTCCATACCAGTTAGTGATATTTGTTTTACTGGATTAAATACACGTGTTAAAAACCCAAATTCAGTGATTATGAGAGGAGAGACATGTTGAAGAGTTTGTTAATGTGAGTTCCTCCCCTTAAGAAGGTAGAAGATTCTCCAGATTCCAATATCTGTTGCCTGGTTGAAGACACCAGGCTCAATCAGAACCCTCTGAATAAGTCAATAAAGTCAATAATGAGAATCTTGTCTCTCTCATTCCCCAAACTTAAATTTCTCCAAGTAACCAAATTAGGGGGGAGATCTTACCAGAAAGTGGGGGAAGATGCAATAGAAAATTGCATTTAAGGTTTTGGAAATAGAAAAGGGTACTGGGTGTCTTTTATAATGTACATTGTAAACTTCAGGGCTGTGTGTCCTGACAAGGCATTTATTCCAGTTCTCTCAAACATCCTGAGAAACCAGCTTTTTAAAACACTTTGTACGTTTGGAGGTCTGTACTGTCCCGCTGATGATTTTAGGAGTGTGAGAAAAGACTTGAACAGGCAAGATAAATGAAGGAGATGCTATGTAATACCAAGTCAGGTAATTTTAGAGGTCAGTTGTCATCTTTTTCTGCACTTACGTTTGACTTCAGCCGTATAGCATGCAGCTTGATCACTACATTCACTTGAATAAAAACAGTAAAGAAAAAGAAAAGTCCACCTCCATCTGCAGAAACAAATAAGCTGTGTTGTTATCGTTCACATAGACATTCCTAAATTTAGTAGTCTTTCCAACTTACACTTTGTATCACAAGAATTGTGAAAATCTGTTGCAAGGTGTTTAGCCAACTCAAAATTGGTCTCATTGGACCTGTCCTTTACCGCTGCTGGCTCTTGTCTCCTCACTGTACTTTGTCAAAAACTTGTGAAACTTACCAGCTCCTTTACTAAGGAGTCTACTAACTGATGCAGTTCTGTGGTGCGTTCAGAGTAGGTAATATGAGTCTTTTCTTGTAAGCTCAGGTGTCTTCAGGGTAGACTTGGGTTACTCAGCTGAGCTGTTTTTCAGATGCAGATTTTCTGTACCAGTAAATTGTATTTATTCCTTTGGAAAACCAGATTACAAGAGGAATTGCATGGTTTTAGGACCTTTTAATTTTGCAGGTAGTTGCTGATCATCTGCCCAACAGAGGATGGCAAATCAGTGGTTTCAGCATCAAGGGAGTGCCAGGAACAGAGACGTAGCCTAAATGCAGGAGTCGTGCCGCATTACCACCCTGCAGGCCAAGGTCACACAGCTTGCTTACCCCCACTAGTACGAAACTGCCTGACGTCTGTGTGCTAGCACAAAGACTTGTCCTGATGTAATTACCTTCATGTTGGAGTCAAATAGTTATTCTGGTATAAAGTGTCTGTAAACTGGGGCTGCAGATACCTGGAATAGGAGGAAGTACCTAGGGAAAGGATGCAGAGCTGTACAAGAGAGGCTCGGTATACCCGTGGCGGTTACTTGCCTGCAAAGAAATACCTTTGTAGGTAAAGGCTGAATGACGGGGATCAGTCATGTTTGTACAGTACAGTTTGTACGTTGGAGCTCATTTTTGAAAAATACTACTAAAAGATACTGGTATCTCTCAAGTTTTAACATAATTCATTTCAGCTAAACAAAATGTAACCCCCAGTTGTATGCATTTCTTCAATTTCTGACTTAGAAGTTCCTTGCCCCTTAGAATTTATAAAGCAGCAGCAGGTAGCTGGAAGTTCTTGAAATTCTGTGGTCAGCAGTAACCTTTCATGGGGTTTGGTAATCCTTCAGCCCAAGATAGAGAAGTCCTAGGGGCAGATAATAAAATTTTTCAAGTAGAGGTGCTTCTAATAGATGGTTTCCTGCCTTAATTCACACTGCTTCCTCTTTCTATTTCTTAATTTTTTATTTGATAAACTTAAGTGCAGGGAAGCTTGCAGAGGCTCTTCCATTGCACTTCCAGGTCGGAACCAAATAGCAGTCATGTCGTGTCTGGAATCTACAGCCGAGAGAGAACTTGCAGAGGTGCATATTCGGGAGGAGCATTGATAACATGGGGACTGTACTTAAACTTCGTCTGTTATGTTGCCTCCTAGACGTTACGCTTTTTCAGTGCAATACCTCCTCCACGGTTGCTGTGGTAGCTGCAGGGCTGCAGTCCTGGGAGAGCAGCTGCTCTTACTCCATTCCTGCAGGATTGGGTTGTACCATCCTGCTCTTGACATTCTCTTCCGCTCCCCTTAAGTGACCTCCATGTTTAAAAAGCAAAACAAAACACCCTTCAGCTCTCAGAAAGGCAGGTATGGCCAGAGCGATGATCCATGCTGTTCACAACCATGCAGCTCTGGGATTTTTCTTCAAAAACAGTTTCATCTGCCAGTCATACTTTATGCTTTGGCAAAAGATAAGATGAGAGCATACAGCGTAATGAATTTTCCCTTTTATGATCTAAAGTTGTATCTTCCCTGGCATGTCTTCTGTTACAGAGGATAGCCCTGGAAATACCCTCCGCTCCATATCATGCTGAGGAAATAATTTTGGTTTCTGCATCTATGGCCAAACTGCTGTGTCAGAGTCAGTCTTTGTTCTGAATTATATTTTGTGGCTTAGTATTAATAACTTCTGGTAAAACGCTAGGGTTTGGTTGGTTTGGGGTTCTACCCACCTCCTGCTCCCCCCCAGCATGCCTTATAAACGAGGGAGTGATGAGTATTGGTGTCTAGTCTGGTCCCGTAGGAGATGCCGTCAGGCAAGTGGGCTCCTGAGGTTTGGGGGGTGTGTACGTAGCAGTGCTGCAGCCCCAGCCTGGGGTCTTCAGCCCAAAATCCATGGGTCTGCCACTCGGCATCTGTGGGGCAAGTGGTGACCAGCCTCATGGTGATCGCTCTGTTCTTTCTGGTCTGTAAATGTGTTTCTGGCCTCAGGTGGTGGCAAAATTTTAGCACAAAAGTCTGGAATTGTTCTTAACTTGGTGAGGTCTTGGAGATCCATATTTAGTATCGTACGGATTTTAATCTTTAATTTATTGCAGTTTGTAAATATTCTTGTGCTTACAGTTAGTGTTTTGAGCTTTAATTTATTGAATTAGTGTATTGGTACGTGTGTAGATACATAAATATGCATACTTGGTAAATCACAGTCACAAGAACAATATTTAAGAAATTGTAGCATTAAAATAAAGAGAAATAATGAGATTATATGCAGAGTAAGAGGGGCATAGGAAGATTTATGGCTTTGATTTCTTTTTTTTTTCCTTTTCTTAAAACAACTTCTGCATTGAACCTGAACAACATCGACTAAATAGAGGTGGAGGCTGGTGCAGTGTTAGCAGAGTGAAAATGTTTTGATGGTGGTATTTTCCTTGGAATGCTTTTGCATCCCTGAGTATAGCCAAGAAGTTGACTGACTGCTTGGTTCTGCTGGTGACATTGGAGGTGACGATCTGGAAGATGCGGTGAGGGGGTGAGAGGCTTCCAGGTTGGTTTGCAACGGGTCGGAGTTGCTTTTGCCTTTGAACACATGGTCCAATGCTGACAAAATGTGACAGTGCCCAACTTTCAATAATTGTCTCAGTCTGTTCCTTTGTGCACATAAGGTAGATGGTAGCTATGTGCAAATGCTACAAGAACTCGCATTTATTCTTGTTTTATAAAGTATAATAAACCCACTTTTTGATCAGATACGACTTTCGCTATGTAGCTATTTATTAGTATTGAAATTCAGCTCTCACCCCAAGGAGGCGAAGCGCAAAGTGAAGTACTCGAGGCAGGTGGCAAAATCGCTTTGTTTTAGTGTCTGACTTTCTCAAAAATGCTTGAAGCTTTGAATATTAAAGTATTTGAGAACCTTTAATACTGCATCTTCACTTAAGATTTATTAGTTACGGAGTTTGCTGCTTTAGTCCTTCAAAAATCTCTGAAACAGAAGTAGCTGGATTGCAGCATGAAAAATCAGCAAACATTAGGCTTTCTGTTGAGCAGCGCTCCTGGAATGCTGGTCGCTTGTGTTTGCAGTGAGCACGGCGAAAGAAAGGTGTGCCGTGCCTTACCGCGCAGGGGCTGTGGCAGCTGCTGCAGTCAGCAGGTTGATTGGAAAGGAGGAAAGTGCTACAAAATTTGAATTGATGGGAAACGTTCCAGTTGTTCTAACAGCCTGGTACAGTTTATCACCGGGTTCTGTTGGCTGTAAAATTGTTTAAATGTCACTTTCTGAAATGCCTGTCCGTAGGTATGAAGCCACAGGCAAGACTTTAGGCAGATTTTGCTCCTTTAATATGAGGGAAAAACGATTCCTGATTCTTGTACAAGGTGTCAAAACAAGAGTAATCATTCCTGAAAATTGTGTTCTTACAAGAGGGAGATTAGAAAATTATTAGAGGCATAATGAAACTGAATGAACTGAAGTGAATAAACAGGATTAATACACAGGTGAAAAACTCTTCTTTCCCGTTGTTATTTAATGCTGCTGTTGTGTCAGGGTGTAACTTCAGCAGCAGAATTTATGATTTTAAAGCAGTTAATTTGTTCAGCCCGTTAACTTGCCACGCATAGGGCAGGGCGCAGTTACCCCAGGAAGGTATGGCACTTCGCTGTGCAGCCTGAAGAGGGACATTCGCTGCTGTGGTGCTTCATGCTGGGAGAGAGCGGTGAGCGGGTGCGCGGGGCAGGGCAGCGCTCATACCTGCCCTGAGCTCTGCCGGCTGCTCTCCTGGTCTGGCATGGTGCCGGCAGGTGGATGCAGGACTTGAGTGGCAGTAGGGTCACCTATGTATGTCATAAAGCATGTTACGTAGCATGTTTGTACTCTTAATTTGTGCCCCCCTGCATTCTTGTACGTCCAACTCCTGCAGGTCAGCGCTTCCTTAGAGCTTCGGCTGTCCTGGCTGGCAGGTAACCCCTCTGTTCCGGGGTGTTACCTCCTGCCTAACGGAACTTTTCCAGCTCATTCATACCTCAAGCAAAGTCTTACTTTAAGTTACGTGTTGATTAAAAGTTGCACAAGCAATGTAAAGCAAAAAACTGCCCCCTGCCACAAAACCTGGCCTTAAGG